TATATATATATATAAGTTATTTTTATAGTATTTCCTATAATTTAAGTATAATTTAAAATATAAAATTTAATTTTTTTATATTTCTTATATAAATATATTTAATTTTTTTTATATTTTTTATGCAAATATATTTTTAAGCTTGTATTATTAATATAATTATTTCTTAATTAATATTTTATTCTACTTATCTTATTCTTATTATTTTTATTTTTTCATTAACTAACTACTCTTAAATATTTAAAAAAATAAAAATAAAAAAAATTATCTTGTAATAATAATAAAATATATTATATATAATTATATAATTTTAATTGTTAAATAAATTCAGATTGATATAATCTGAATTTACATAATTTAAATTAATATATAATTATTAGTTTACTTTAATATTCTTTTTTATTTGATCAATATTTTTAATTTAATATATATGATTTAAAATATTTTTATAATATTTAATTTATATTATTTATATTATAATGATATATATTATTTTAATTCTGATATTATACTGATTAGAATTATATTTACTTATCTTTTTTCTCTTTTCAACTAGAATCTTTGCTTTATATATATTAAATTCATAATATTTTAAGAAATAACAAGTATAAATAATCTAAAAATTATTATTAAAAGATTACTAATTATTATATTATATCTAGATATTAAGTACAAATAGCTATAATTCTTTATAAACTTTTTTTAAAAGTTATTAAAATTAAAAATACTTATACATTTTTAATTAATAATTTCTTGTATTAGAAGTCTTATTTGAGATATATAAATATGTATATATATATATAAGTTATTTTATAATATTTCTTGCAGCTTAAATATAGCTTAAAATATAAGATTTGATTTTTTTACATTTCTTGTATAAATATATTTGATTTTTTTTGTATTTCTTATATGAATATATTTTTAAGCTTATATTATTAATATAATTATTTCTTAATTAACATCCTATTCTCTATTCATCTTATTCTTATTATTTTTATTTTCTCATCAATTAATCACTCCCAAATATTCAAAAAAACAAAAACAAAAAAATTACCTTGCAATAATGATAAAATATATTATGTACAGTTATATAACTTATTAGGTAAATTCAGATTGACATGATCTGGATTTATATAATTCAAATTGACATATAATCCACTATCCTGCTTTAGCATTTCTCCAAAATTGTTTGATGATTATAATAGTATTCTAGTCATGGTGAACCAAATCGCAAGATTAATATGTAACGATAATAGTTTGTTAATTATAATTAAGATTAGGATTAGAATTGTAGTTAGGATTATATTTCATGTAACTTTAATATTATAAAGCACCACTATAAACACTATAAAGCAAAATTTTGCAAGAAACATTTTTTGTTCGAGATACAAGCTATTTTTCAAAAATAAACGTTTGTTTTGAATTTTTTCCGTTACACATTGATCTTGCGATTTGATTGGTTTACCCCTTAAAAATCACATGACCCGTCACTTTTTTTTCGCCATGGCTAGGATACAAATGATTTTAGATGTTACGCACCACACGAATAGCAACTACCCGGAAACTTCATCGCATTTTTGTATAACCTATAAAAGAACCATGTCTAAACAAAGTACACCAGCTTCTACTTCTACGGCAAATGAAGAAAAATCCATTCCTACCTTAGCTGAGATGGTTCGAAAATACAATACTGAACAACTTATCGATTTTTTACGTGAGAATGAAGAGCTGCAACTTATCAATGAAGATTATTATTCGCAATGAAAGAATCACCGGTCGTGTTTTTCTTAATTCAACCAAGCAAGATTTTATAGACAATGGCCTGAAAGGTGGACCCGCAAAACGTCTTGCAGACTTCGTCAAGGAAGTCAAAGAAAAAAAATTGAAGGTATATTCATTGTATAAAACTGTGAAAGATTTTGAAGGGGTCATGAGAAAGTTTGGAATCGATGGCAAAGAAATAAGTGATATTCCACAGTTCTATCCTGGTAAGTTATTTATTGTTGTATCGTTTTTCCAAGTCTCAAGGATTAACCTATGTATTTCTTTATAGTAACGGAGAAACTCGAAGAGAATGATGAAGATTTACAATATTGTATGGACGACATTAAATATAGAATGGTCAACATAGGCTCAGCAACAGGCAGTAATGAAGCCCTGCGTTGCGAGTACATTTCTACAATATTACATTCATGCCTCCATATTGCCAGAAGAACCACCAAAGATACAATCGTCCTAAAACCCCAGTTAGAAATCGTCGGCGATGAAGCGTCAGGTCGTGTTGACTATGCTATCAAAAAAAAAAAGTTGCCAAATATGAAGAACTTATTTGCATTACTGAAGGAAAACAAAGTGAGCTGTACAAGGGTTATATGCAAAACATTATGCAACTTGATAGCGGTTACCACACAAATAAGAGAAAACTAAATCATAGTGAAGCTTTTGATAATGAATTTGACTATCTCTATGGTATTGTTAGTACAGGCAAGTTATAAAGTAAAGATTAACTTGCAAGATTTGATATAGCAAAAATAAATAATAACTTATAAACTCAATTTTAGCCATGGATTGGCATTTCATCATGTATACTCCGGGAAATGGTTTATTGTGCAAAAGATGACTATCATGTTCCACTTACTGAAAAAATCTTAGAGGACGATTCAGAACTTCGAGGCGATGTGAAAAAAGTTATGGAGGTGATTGTGGGTTTGTTGAAGGATCGAGTTAACGTAGATGATTTACCAGCTAGTAAGAAGGCTAGAACTGAACAATTTATTAAAATACGTGAATAATCTTATTCTTTATATATTATGCGTATATATTTTTAGAATTTATTTTGTAACGAAAAAATACTATGTTATAAAAGTTTCTGCATTAATAAATTCAATGCTTCACATTATCAGTTGGTTCACTTTTTACCCGTGATAGCTCCGCTATTTTTTCATGTAAATTTAATGGTGTATCAAAGCTTAGACGTAATGCAAATTCATCATCCTCAGGTTTAACGAAATCAAAAACTATAAATTCTCCTTTTCAGAGGTACCTATTAATGCATTTTTTACATCTTCAGTATATCGTCTAATGACTTAGAAATATCTTGGTAGGAACTACCAGAGTTAAATAATATTAGATGTGATAAGTTTTCGCGAATAATATTGGGACATGATGATAACGTTGTATCACATATATGCTTGAAATATTCCGATGTCGTCCATGTGAAAAGAATGGGATTATTCGATTTCAGGAGCAACACATAGATCTTCAAAGATAATCACTGTACTCCTAGCTGGTGAAAATGATTTAATACTAGGAATTCTTTCAGGTAAGATATATCTGAATCTTATATTTTCATAGTAAGGCGCTTTTGGATTACTTGCAATTACTCCATACATGGACTTGTAACTTGTTTCAGCTGGCAAAAGTGTAAACGATTGAGTAATGCGATTGATATTTCTACCAGGACTTGGTAGTCCATGAATTTCAGCATAATTTTCGAGAAAATTCTTCACGGGTTATATCAATGGTTATTTTGGTTTTCCATCGCGGCACTTTTTTTACATTACCATGAACACGCGGTATTATGCCATTGGTTGCGAGATGGTTTCTGACGTTTTCGAAGTGAGTGCGGCCAATTCCTAACATATTGAGAT